TAAGGCACTTTGGAAGAGGAATTTGTAGATCATACAAATTTTTAAGTGTTACCAAAATTAGTGTAATTTGAAATAGAGTAATAAATTTAAAGTCCAAATTTGTACTTTAAATGTGTTAAATGTTTTAAAGAATTAATATCTCATATTTTGGTTGATAAGAACTTAAAATATTAATATGTTTGTAACTATTGTGCTAATTAGGCAAATAGACTAGAATGGAATATTGTTAAAATACAATATTAATGTGTTTGATTGTTTAGTTTTATGTAATTAATTTATATATACATATTTATCTTGGTGCTCTCTTTGTTTATATTAAATTGTGAACACATAATTTTAAATCTAATTTAAAAAATCCAAAGATTTTTATGAAGGTAACATATACAAAATATACTTTGTTTAGTTCAATATTTCCTATCCCTTAACTGGTGCTTAAAAGACAGTCGAAATTGATGATGACAAGAAATGGTAATAATTTCTATAGAATTCCTTAGCTCAATCTTCTTTGATAAGAGAATGGGACAAGTAGTAGAAGCAGACAACTTGGGTGATGAATATAAAGGATATGTGTTTAAAATTACAGGTGGTAACGATAAATAAGGTTTCCCAATGAGACAAGGTGTCCTCTTTAAGGGAAGAGTTAGAATTCTTATGAGAAAGGGACATAAAGGTTATAGACCAAGAAAAGATGGAGAAATGAAAAGAAAATCAATTAGAGGATGCATTGTCGGTCAAGATATTAGAGTCCTTGCCTTACAAGTCGTTAAAAAGGGTGCCAATGAAATTGCTGGACTTACAGATTAAAACGTACCAAGAAGATTAGGTCCAAAGAGATTGACCAAATTAAGAAGATTATTTGGATTCAAAAAAGCAGATGGTGTTGCTATTGTCTAAAAAAATCTCATTAGAAGAACATGGACAACAAAAGATGGAAAGAAGAGATAAAAGGCTCCAAAGATATAAAGACTTGTTACTGAATCAAGATTGAGAAGAAAGACTATTCAAAAGAAGACTGAATAAGCTAGAAGAACTAAAGCCAAATAAGCTTTAGAAGCATATAAAAAATTAGCTCATGATGTTCATGAAGCTCACAAGAAACACAGAAAAGCATCATCTGAAATCAAGGAAAAGGTAAAAGAATAACCAAAGGTAATTCTTAAATATTACTTTTTTAGGCTAAGGATACAAAAGCTACAACAAAACCAGCATAAGTTGGTAAATAAGCTACTCAAACTAAAGCTTAAGTTCCAGTCAAGGCTGCTGCTCCAGCAAAAACAACTGCTCCAGCAAAGACAGTCCCATAACCAACTTAAAAAGCTCCAACCACAACCAAAGCCAAGAAATGAAAATGATATTATTAATAAAGTACATTACATAAAAAGCATTTATAACTCATAAAAAAAATCAATTTGAGAATGAAAATTATGTTGAATCTGATTATTTTCTTTTCCTCTCTTAAAAATCAAATCTTATTGAATTCTTTTATTTTGAAGTATGAGGTTATATCCTATCAATATGATTATCCTATAAATTTGCTATTTGTTATAATGAATTCATTTTTGGTTGACTATTTAATAATTAACCTATTGATTCTTGATTAATGGCTAAAGAATAGGGAGGCATTATCTATTAAAAGTGTTCGAAATGTCTATTAAAGCGATAGAAGTCTAACATTCTTTTTTATAGAATCTAACACTAGAGTTTATTAATATAATTTACATTACTTCTTTATAAAGTTCTAGCATTAATTCTTTTGAATATTTAATTTCTTATCTATTTTCAATAAGACACTTGATATCTTTCAAGATGAATATAAAAATATCTTGTAAATCATAATATATGAATTTGATAATATTTGCCAATAACGGATTAGATTGAAATAAATCAACATTTTCAACAATTTTTTGCATAGCCATTCCAATATAGCATTAATTTGAAAGAGTAAAATATATTAGTAAATCTCCATCAACAACTTCTTCATTAATAAATGTAGTTTGAGATGCCAATTTATATAAATAATGATAATAATGTTGACAGACTACATCTAATTTTGAAGGAATTGAATTTTAAGTTTTAATATTTAATTGTTTGGAAATTAAGATTTTTGATAATTCTGAACGTCCAACTTATGAACTTAAGATAATATGTAACAATAATAAAATTTTAAATTTTCTTTACAAATTTCCTTCCTAAACACTTTCTTTTTGTACTACTTCAAATAATGATTACAAAAATAGTTTCTAATATATTGTTTACTAACCTTACCTTACTTTATTAACTTTCAAAGAATGGTCTTAATCTATTTGATATAAGTGATTAAGATTGAAATTAATTATCATTTGAATAAATATGTAAATCCTTTAAGGCATCAACAACAGGTTATGTATTTGACATGTATTCTTTGATTTTATTTATCATATTATATATTTATATATTATAAATATTAAATTAAATGATTATTTTTATATCTCTTAAAATAATGAATAAATTACATTATATATATAGAATTTATTAGTTCCATAATATATATCTTAATATTCAATTAATATAGATATATTTTAGTTATAATAAATTTATGAATAGAATTAGAAAATAAAATTCAAATTTGTTTTATTAATAACTTATACATTATATATATTTTTCAAAATTTGGAATAAAATAGATATGCAATCTCTCTTTGTTAAATGTTAGAAATGTCAATAAAGACCTGCTACAATCAAATGCAATTAATGTAGATATGGGTAAACTTTTCGATTATGTTACTCATGTGATTCCCAAATTCACAATCGATCTGGTCCAATAGATTAGTAACATAAAACAGAAATTATACCTTATTAGGGTATAATACCTTAATTCACAATTTAGAAATGTACTAGAAAAACTAAAGTATTGTTCCTGTTCCTCAAAAAATCGATTAGAAGAATTCTTTCAAAAAAAATGAAATGAAACCAACAGGTTAGGTGCCAACCAAAGATTATTTAAGCAATGATTCAAAAAAATAAGATTACTCTAAGACATTAGATGTCAATAGAGTAAATAATAAACATGACTATTTGGAGAAAAAGATCGATAGTAATGATAAAAGAGTTGATTAGTAATATTTATCAGGTGATAAAAGGCCCTATTAATCTAACTAGAAATTCAATCTAGATTAAGATAGAGGTTCTCAATCAATAATTAATTAATTAAAGGAAGAATAATAATAAGCAGAAAGATTGAGAGTTGAATTATCTTAATCAAGAGATAAAGAGAAGGAATTCTAAAGAAAATTGTATAATATTAATAGTAATTTTTAGATAAAAGGTTGAGAAGGATTATGAATAAAAATAATAAGAAGATAGAGAAAAAATTTAATAATTAACAGAAGAAAATAGAAATTTGAACAATAAACTTAGTTAAGCAAATAAGCATTTATTAGATGAAGTTAATAAAGTTAAAAAATAATAATAAGATTAAATAAAAAAGTTAGAATAAGCATTAAAAGAGAAAACAGAGGAATTAGAAAATATTGCTTAAGATTATAATTTAGTATTTAATCATTTCAGCTTATTAGGAAGAAATTTAATCCATGATAGAATAACTCTAATAGGAATCATCTATGAAAGATCAAATCATAGAATAATTGCAACAATAATTATAAGATAATTAAGAAACTGTTGGTGAATTATAAGAAAAATTAGCAAGTAGTACAAAACAAAAACAATAATCATCAAATAAGAAATCAGCAAAAAGTTAAGATAATGAAAAAGATGAAGTTATATAAGAATTAGGATAATAATTAGAAGCTAAAGATGAAGAAATTCATAAATTGGAAGGTAAGTATTTGATTTAAAGATATAGATTTAATTGAAAATTTCAAATAACTTTATCAACATATGAGTGATGAAAAACAATAATTATAAGAAGAAGTTGAAAAATTAGCAAATGAAAATAACTAATTTAGAGAAATATTTAGTGTATACTATTATTATTATTATAAATAGCAAAATCTACATCTTTTTGGAATTGATCCTGAATAATTAAATGAAGAAGGAGAGGAAGGAGAAAATGAATATCCTGAAGAAATTGCCGAAGAGAATGACGAACAAAATGATTGATTTTTATTAAAAAAATAAATATTAATTGATAAAAATCAATCTTTTAAGTTAATTTCACTAATTTTCATTTTATAACTAAAATATCACTTTTATTTAGACACAATAAAACCTATTTCAAGGATTATATGGATTGTAATGATTACAGTTAATTTAATAATATTAATTAAACATCTTGTTAAAATGTTAAATACTAATAGTAATTTATTTAACATTTTAACATAAAAAATAATTAATTTTAAATAACATGTGTTATCAATTAGACTTATGTTTTTATTAATATCAAAGTTTTATATGTATTGTAAGAAAAAATACTAATTTAATCAGATGTTTCCTCCCATTAGATGGAACAGATTCTTTTGACTAAATATTTTTTTGTATGCAAGATTATAATTCATTTCAACTGGTATAACCTTTTCTTTTTTAATATGTGCTAAAGTTTTTGACCTTCCTTATACACATATTGTATTTGCTGTACCAAGACGTAATTTTAAATAGTTTTATTAATTTTATTCTGAAACAAGTGCTTTTTATGAAGGTTAGCTTTTAACTTCTAAAATTTTGATCTCATAATATGAAAATGGTTAGGGATGAGAGTTTTTCCTAGTTTTAATAATAAACATTAAATAATTGAATGATTAATAAAATTGATTATTTTCATTATGTTATAAAATAATTATTAATAGATAACCATTTTTTATTACTTATTTTTTCAATAAAATGTGTACTAACTACTTTTTATTTAAATTTTCAAATAAGAAATAAGAAATGAGTTTATTTAAATTGTTAATAAAAACTCTTTCCTTTTTAAATCAGTATTTATTATGATAATGTTGAAATAATTAAATTATATAGCATAATTTGACTGATAATTTGATTAATTTTATAATATAGTAATATTATTTTATGTTTCATAGTGAAACTCTGCAAGAACATATTCTTTATGATAAAATTTATCAATACCTTTGGGTAAAATCTGAAACTTCGAATCCTCCTTCTATATTGATACCTGAAACAGTAATATTAATACGATCTATGCCTATTTATTGGTATTTTACAGACAAAGCATCAGGAGAAGTAAAGAGAAAAATGCATAAAAATGTAAGCAAAGAGAACATTAAAGAGAGTTGGTTGAATTCTGTTGGGAAATCAGGAGTTGTTGGCTATTTATTACATTTTATGTAAATAAATTAAGTATTTGAAGAGAAAATTTAGATCTAAACTACCCAAATGAAAAATTAAAAGTTAGTGGATAAATATAGATTATTTACTTTGATAAAGAGGGATTTATAAAATTTATGGATTCAAATGTATAGTTTCCATTTGGAATATTACAAAAGTACGTTGAATCTGCAGATGATAAAAATTGTAATTATAAACATTTATTAAAGCATAAATATAGGCTTTTTGGAGTAAATAGATTACATTATTTACTAAGAGAACAACCAAAAAGAGTTATCTTAATAAATCAATGAATATTTATGAAAGACTTTGCACTTTTGAAGGGCCAGATTATTTAAGTGAAGCAAGTAATTTAATAAATTTGAAATTATAGCTTAAGTTAAAGATTTTTAATCACAAAGGATATCAGAATAAATATAAAAAATGATTAATCATTTAGATTCTATATCATTTGGAAAATTAAATATCAATTAAGGGATATTCTATTTCAAAGTTGATAGAGAAGCAAAATGTTGGTTTTTGTTTTGTGGTAATCTTAAATTTGAAGGTGAAAAACATTTAAAGGATTGTCCAAAAGATCTTTATTCTTAAGCATAAATAAAAATACCTAAATCCATAGATGGAATTATGTCAGTTTATAGTTAGAAACCATAATAATTAAATAAAGAATCAAAATGTATTAAATGTGGAATAATTGAAAAAGAAAATAATTTTATTATGATACCTTATCATTACATTTTAGAAAATGATTAAAATACAATAACACCTTAAAATTGGCCAAATGAAATTAAAAATGGAGCTACAAAAATAAAATTAGTAAATACAAACTCTGATTCATCTGATCTATTAAATACTATATCTAAAGTTCCTTTAGTATTTTAAAAAATACATGAAAAATTAAATTATTAAAGTTTTGATTAATATAAAAATAATGATGGATTTTTACATAAGACTTTATAGGTTTGCTTAAATTGTTACATTATTTTAGGTATTAATTTAAAATAAATATTAAGTGGCAATATAAGAGAAGAAATAAAAAGATTGTGTAATTAATAGTATTAGTCCACAAATGAAAATTAAGAAATCATTAGGTGGATTTACAAGTGCAAAATCACTTTAATAATATTTAAGACCTGATATTAAAGAAAAAATATATACTTAAGTTTCAGATACTTGTAGGAAATATAAGAATATTAAAATACGTCCTGTTTAATAGTATGTTTAAAAAAGATTGTAAAGTTTAAGTCCAACATAAAAAAGTTCTATGGATTTTCCTTCATCTCCTGATCTTCTATCTTATCATACTAAATCCTCAACATATGAATTAGGAAATAATAATAGAAAACTTAGAAATTGTTATAATCAATCTCTATAAGTGAAATTGAATAACTTGAATATATGAAAGTTGTATTTTCTGTTGATATTTATTAATATGCGTTTTTATAATTAAAATTTTATATCAACATGAGCATTATGTTTGACAAACTGTTTAAGCAATTTGCTTAATTTTATGAGAGCTTCAATCCTTCATATTTTATTATTGCAGTAGTTGCTTTTTCTTAAGGTGTATAACACTTAGCAGATTTATCTATTAACTATATGCTCAAAGATGATTTTGGATTATCACCAGCAATGATGGGACTTTATTTGAGTTATACAACAACACCTTGGATTGTAAAACCATTCTGGGGTTTAATAACAGATTCAAAACCTTTGTTTGGTTATAGAAGAAAATCATACATAATTTTATTTGGGATATTTGATGCATTAGGATGGGTTGCTTTATCTAAATATGGAACAGATAATTTATATTCTGCCCTTTTATTATTATTCTTGATTTAATTATCAACATGTTTTGTGAATGTTGTTGGAGAAGCTATTTTAGTAGAAGTTGCTGCTTCAGCTTCAAGATAATAAACAAATTTTTAACATGGAGCATCAAAGAATGTCTCAATATTTTTTGGTGTAAGAGCATTTGGAACACTTATAAGTGCATTCTTTTCAGGTGCATTATTACATTATTTTACAAAATAAGAAATATTTATGATGACAGCTGCATTTCCTTCATTATTGGTTTTAGTATCATTCTTTTATGTTGAAGAGAAAGTTGATCCTAGAAATTTAGATTAAAATGATAGAAGAAACAACACTATGTAATGTATAAAAGATTTTTGGACATTCTTTTAAAATCCCTTAATTTACAAGTATTATAATAATAGATTCAAGGCCAGTTGCATTGATATTTTGTTTTATGATGGCTCCTTCAAGTTCAACTATCATGTTCTTTTTCTATACCCAAGTTTTAGGCTTTGAACCTTCTTTCCTTGGATAATTAAAATTTGTTTATGCATTGTCTACTATTTTAGGAGTGCTTCTATATAATAATTATCTCAAAGATGTTCCATTTAAAAAGATATTCATTACTACTACGATCCTCTATTATTTTTGTTATCAATCTATGATAATTCTAGTCACAAGAAAAAATGTTGAATGGGGTATTAATGATAAATTCTTTTGTCTTGGAGATTCAGTTATGTTATAATTGGTAGGTGAATTAAATTTGATGCCTATATTAGTATTAGCATGTAGAATGTGTCCAAAAAATATTGAAGCTACTATGTATGCTATGTTAATGAGTACAATTAATTTTGGTAATCAATTAATTTTATATATTTTTAGGATCAACATTAGGATCATAATTAGGTGCTTTATTTTTAATTATAATGGGAGTTAATTAAAATGATTATTCTAAATTATGGTTATTTATTATTGTTACAGGAATATTCATTTTATTACCACTTCCTTGGGTTGGTGTTGTTTAAGAAGATAAAATCTTATAATAAAGAGATTAATAATTGGCTCAATTAAAATAAAAAGATTGTGAATCTGATACTGTTTCAACAAGTAATTTAAGATAAGAAGATGACTAATAATAATTACTTTCAGAAAACGAATAATAAAAGTCATGAAATTTATAGAATACAAATATTTATTTATTATTTTCTACTTTTTTATTTATTAACTAATGAATGTGTCTCTTATTTAGATGTAATAAATCAAATTTATTTTTGTAATAATAATTCTTAATGATTACACTAATTATTATATGTATAATAATATATTAATTATTTGATGAAATTTAAAATAATGATGAGCCAAACAATCAATAAGTTATTTTATTTATCTGCTATTGCTGATCATGATAGAAATGATAATTTAAGAAGTAGTTGGAATAAAATCAAAATAATCATTTATTTTATCTAAGTAATTTCATTATTGTTTATTGATAATATCAACATTTATTTTGACAATTACATTCTGATATTGTCTCAATTCATTACATTCTAGCAAATTTAAAATTTATATTATTAGACTCTGGTTCTAATAGCAATTTTATTAATCCACATAATCATACTATTAATGATCTCATTATTATTAAAAATTGTAAAATATTTATATTTATAGGAAGAAAAGTAAAATACTTTTAAATACTTTATAATTCTACTTATCCAATTATGATTGGCTATTTTTGATACCTTCATAAATATTTTGCTTTATTAATAAGCAATTTTTAATTACAGTTTTAAGCATTTTAGTATTGTTTTTAAGTGTTTTTCAATATATCATAAGCATTTATATATTTCGCAATTCAGGCTTTAAAACCAGTAATGGTAGAGCTAAAAATATAACATTTGACTTAATTTATTTATTCATCTTTGAATCTATTATATTTATAAGAATTGCAAATTTAGAAATAACATCAATAATTAAATATTTTTTAGTAATTGCAATTATTCTTGTGAAAATATTAGAATTTATTAAAATAGACAAATTTAGTGATAAGACAGTATAAAGTTTTTATTAGAAATTTATTATAATCACATTTGTATATATTATTCAAGAAATACTAATTTAATTATTAGATTATAAATAAGATCCATATTTATATACAATTTTATTATTGTTTCCAGTATTATTTTGATTTTATTTTAGTTATTAAACTTTTTTTATGTTGTTGAGTAATTCCATATATTAGATGCAGAGTATTTTTATTCAAATGCAATACAAAAATTTGATCCTTAATGTTAAATTAAAGCTTATTAATCAATTTCATATCATAAAAAAAAATGCTAGAATATTATTTGTCCTTGTAAAACTTGTATAAGATTGGATAATAAATAAGAAATAATTAAATTTACTGTTTAAATTTTAAAATTAGAATAATAATTTTGTTACTTAAAATATATATCATTTTAGATTTAAAATAATAATAAAGGATTTAAAAATTATTTATAGATTATGAAAGTAGTAAAATAATAAAAAGATATTGAGTTTTCTTTTTATGATTAAAAAATGATTCATTCTCTATTAGAAATAGTTTGTGAATAGACTAAACAATTATATAAAGAAATAATTCCAAATAAGTTTTCTGAAGTGGTTTATTCTCTTTAATGGTTTGAATCAAATTGTCATAAAATTAAAGATCAATTATTAATTTTATTAAATATAAAATTAAAACTATGGTCATTGTATGTTACAGATAAAATTGAATCTTATTAAGAAATGTTTGAAATGTAATTGAAAATAACATATGAAATAAATAAAATTAGATAAGCTTTGCATGAATTCTAATATGATATTTAGATTTTTTTAAATTAAGAAATAAATTTAAAACACAATTTATTTTATTAAAGAGTATCATAAATATTAGAACTATCTTTTTATTCTATTAATAAATATTAATTAATTGAAAAGAGAATATAAAAAATAGTTGAATTTGAATAAGGTTAAGGAGATCTATTAAATTATTAAATGTTTGAAAATTAAAAAGCCATGTAACTTTTAGTAGTCATTTCTAAACAATAAAGGGGAAAAATTGAAAAAGTTTCAAATAAATGGTTAAATATAGATAAATTTGAACATTTATCCAATATTATGCCAATGTAATTTAATGAATTACACAATCAACTTCTAGATAATTATTGTAGATTTGGTCCTTCAAAATCATAGATTTTTTAAACATTTATAAAATATGGAGATACACCTTTAGTTTCAAAAGTAAAGATTTGTCTCAATAATTATCCAAAATATGATCATGAGAAACTCTATTTGATGGGTACTCTTGTGAAAGATAATATAGAAGAAGATTAGGATTATATGTTAATTGGATAAGACTTTTAAATATTAGGATATTCTGAATAATTATGGTTTAAAATATTCTAACATCTAAAATTCTAAGATGATATATATGAATTCAGTATATTTTAAATTCTTCCAGATATTTAATCAATACTCAAAGAATATTATGAAAATATGTTAAGGTATAATCTATAATTTTAGAATCATGAAAAAATAATCAGTCATTAATAAAAAGGTGTTTTATATTTTAATAAAAATATGTGTAAATAAATTTTCAATTCAACAACAAAAATACCTTTTTTATAATTATCTCCTTAAGAAAGAATATAAAAAATTGAATAATTATCTAAAAATTATGAAAATTAAGAAAAAAGTGAATTTTAATTGAATTTGATGTTTAGTCTAACAGAAAATTTGATAACTTATAATGTAAAAGAAAAAAAAGAAAATTACATATATTATTGGATTACTTTGAATTTTTAAGAGACAAATACATTAATCGATAAATAATTTAATTAACAATTATCTTATGAAGTTTAGGTATTGGAAGATAATAATAAAATAAAAAAGATTTAGTAAAATATTAATTCATATTAGATTTAATTAAATTAAGATTAATGAAAGTATTGCAAAAACGTCATCATCTATGTAGAAAAGTAATTCTGAGATATTATCATTCCAATAAGTTATTGGTATTGTTAAATAATTAACTGCTTACAGATTATTAATGCTACTATCTTTAGCATATATTTTATTGATAATTATTGCTTTTATTCTACTTTTTTAATAAATTTAGAAGAAAGAACTTTAATAAACATAATGTTTTGAATATCTTGATTATAGCACTTCATTTCTTGATGGATATGGAAGAGCTATGATTGCTTCTAGACATGTTATTTATTTAAGAGATTTTAATAAGTTTTTGGCTTCATATAATTTATATCCTATAGATTCTCAAACTATTATTAATGTAACATCTGTAGATAAAATATCTTTTTCACTATATATCTATAAATAATCAATTGAAGAATTAGTAGCATTTTATTAAAAAGAAACAGCTAAACTTAAAATTTACGATAAATAAAATTAATCAGTTGATTTAATCAGAATTAATTTTTATAAGAATTAAACTGAAATTTAAACTGTTTTATCCTTGTCTTAATATTATAAAATTATGCTTCAAACACTATATATGGCAATAAAAAGTTTTGCTAAAGATCCAACTCTATATTTGATTGGAACCACTGATTCATGGGCATAGTA